CGCCTGGTCTCGCAGTCTTCATTCTGGAATATTGTTTAGAACTCTTTTTGAAACTACTGCCAGTTCCTGGCATACCCATTCGGTTCTATCGGAATCGACATCTACTTTTTTCAGGCCAAACATAGTGGCACCCCCGGTAGGACATTTTGAACAGAGTGTTTCCATGGTAGGAGGAAAAAAACACGACAAATTTGTTCAAGATCCTGCCGAAAATGAAGGGGAACAGGCTATTGAACTTCCTGATGATAGTTCATGTGCCATTCCTGAAGAAGAAGATAATATGGTTACAAAGTTCATCAAAACAAACGGACCTATTAAGGAAGCTGTTTATGTACAAGATCAAAAGATAGAACGTCTATTGGACCAAATGACTAACAAATTGGAATCGGTGTTAGAACAATCTTTTCAAAGTTTCTCTTAAATCTTAGCCAACAGGCCAAACAATTCAGAAGGTTCTCAACAATCAGCCATTCCGGTGAACATGTCAAGTACGTTTGTGAAATGGAGTCTAGAATCCTGTGGTAATTCCTCAACAAGTTTGTCATAATGTTTTTACTAACAATTGGTATCATTTTGGGTTTTGTCAAGGTACGGCTTAGGCTGGTCAATCAGGTAATCAGCCATACTTTCTACCCAATACTACTCAACAATCAGCCATTCTGGTGAACAGGCCAAGTACGTTTGTTGAGGGGAGTCCTTATTATCAGCCTGTGCATTCCATGCCACAGGCACAAACAGTGCAGGTGCCACCTGTACAATCAATGTCCATTCTAATGACCCAGCAAATGCAGAATTTAGCTCCTGTGACTATGCCTCAACAGGTTTGCCATAAAGTTTTTTCTAACAATTTATATCAATTTGGGTCTTCTCAGGGTACAGCTCAGGCAGGTTAATCGGGAAATCAGTCGTATTTTCCACCCAATGTTGGCCAGTAGAATGTTCAGCCACCTCCTACCATTCCTTAAAGATTACCTCAGGTTTTTCCTGTGGCAGTTGGGGGGCAGAACCTACCAAAGGAGCTTCCTAAAGAATGAGGCAATAAAGGTTGCTAAAGAAATAACCCAGACCCAGACCCAATTCCAGTGGTGTTTGGGGGGCATCCAATGGCCAACTTACCCAAAGGTTGGCTAGAAATTACAAATTCATTACCCCAACTATGGTGTCAATTCCACCAATAGTGAAGTCGATTCCACCAGTAGTGAAGTTGATTCTACCATCACTTCTATCGCAGATGCAGGTTCAACCTAAAATGAAGAACCCTTCAGCAACAGTGAAGTCAATTCCACCAGCAATAGCTCAACCACTTCTATCGTAAGTGCAGGTTCTACTTGAGGTGCAGAACCCTTCACCAGCAGCAGTCCAAAAAGTTCAATTTCAGGTCCAACAGAATGTTCCACTTTCGAACATTCAGCAGCCTATAAGCACACTACCAAAGCCACTGTTGGCCTTTCTAATGGCATTCGAAATTAAACGCCCTTTAAGGAAACCTCTTGATCAAGAAGTAAATCCAATCCATTGAAGGAGTATTCATTTGGCAAACCCAAACCCAATTTCATTGGTGTTTGGGAGGCATCCAATGGCCAACCTACCCAAAGGTTGGCCAGAAAATACAAGCCAACTTGCTGACTTCTCCAGCAAGACTGTGGCTTGACCATAAGAAAGGTTTACAAACCTTTCCATAAGAAGCCGTTATCACTTCTTCCATTGGAAGAAGATTTTCCACAGTCAGATTTACCTTCAGAAACGACACAAACTTCTTAATCGTTGTATATTCTTCCACATGAAGAATATAACGGTCATAGTATTTTTCTTCTAATTTTGGAAAAAAAAAATGCTACTATTTTATTTGTCCCAAATTCACATCTTGTGATTTTTGGGGGGCAAAACTTGGCCAATTAACTATGTATTTGGCTAGAAAATGTACAAATTCGTCCTCCTCATAAAACTTCCAGACCCCGGGGAACAACGAAATTGGACGTGAGGCTTCAAATCTTCATCTTCGTTAAATAAGTAAGCTGCTTAAAAGTTTTTGGCCCAATGGTACATTACGGCTGAAAAGTTTTACTTGTTCAATTCCTTAACAATAGGAATATCACATGGCAAATTCTCACTCACATCTAAAATTTGATATGCCTTACAATTCTTCAAGGAACATCAGGCACATCAAATTTGGGGGGTAATGTTTACACCCTATTTTTTCCACTTTCCAGAGGAAGATTGCTCTGGTCAATTCCAATGGAAAGGTACTACGACATTCCAGTGGAAAGTCTTGGGACACATGGCTGCCAAGGATGCAAGCAGTTATAAGTGGCTACATGCAAAGTCATGGGACACATGGCAGCCTAGGAAGTGAGTGATTACAAGTGGTTACATGCAAAGTTACGGGACACATGGCAGCCTAGGAAGTGAGCGGTTACAAGCGGTTACATGCAAAGTCATGGGACACATGGCAGCCTAGAAAGTTGGTCGATTCCAATAGAAAGGTACTACGACATTCCAGTGGAAAGTCTTTAGACACATGGCAACCAAGAAAGCAAGCGGTTACAAGTGGTTACATGCAAAGTCATTGGACACATGGCAGCTTAGCAAGTGAGCGGTTACAAGTAGTTATATGCAAAGTCATGGGACACATTATAGGAAGTAAGCGGTTATAAGTGGTTACATGCAAAGTCATGGGACACATGGCAGCCTAGGAAGTTAGTCGATTCCAATGGAAAGGTACTAAAACATTCCAGTGGAAAGTCTTGGGACACATGACAGCCAAGGAAGCAAGCTGTTACATACAAAGTCATGGGATACATGGTAGCTTAGGAAATAAGCGGTTACATGCAAGCTACCATTACTAAATTTTGTAAATAGGGTATGATATTGTAACTTAGAAAACCTACTCAATGCCAAACACAACATTTCAATACAACATTACTTTTCATTGCAATGCACTTTCAATATAATTAATCTTAGTCCTGCACTTTACTTTTCATTAAATAATTTTACTGTTCTTCCTAGCCTGATAACCATCCTGAAGTCCTTTATCAGAGGCAAAAAGAACCCAGAGGTGTTCATTCCAGACCTCTTCATTATCGCCTGGTCTCGCAATCTTCCTTTCTGGAATATTGTTTGGATCTTTCTTTAGAACTACAGCAGTTCTTGGCACGCCCACCCGGTTCCATCCGAACCGACCACTTTTCTAAGGCCAAACAGATACAAAATCAATCATAGCGCTAAGGTTAACCCGCCACTTGAATTACCGCATAGAGTAATCACTTTCCAACACAGAGATGTCGACAATGGATTTGTAACAATAACTATAGAATGACGAATCCCACCAGCTGGTGGAGATGGCAATGGGCACAATCTTTCTTTATCAACATCAAAGTATAACGAAGCTTCTTCTGGATTATAAGAAATCCAATGGATTGAACCATTACAATAGACTACATTACTACCCAAATCCAGTCCTTGTCTTGAGAAAGGATCAGCAAAGGAACGCCCCTAGGCATTGGTTTCTAACGAATAAATATGTATTCGATACAAGTATTTGTTCACCTCATGTAGTGATCTCTGAAACAAAACAACTTTGTAATGAGGTGATTTCAAAGGATCAAAAGCCAAATATAAAGGTTGAGAATAATAAGAAGGGGATGAAAGAGGCCATGGAAGAGTAGAGAATTGTTTGGTAGTAGGATTGTAAACGTGGTAAGATCCAAAATTATAGCAGAGTAGAAAACCATTACAGGAATCTATTATTATACTATACTTATACCTATCACCGCCAAGACTAGAGAAATCGGGAAATGTGGCTAGAGACTTGTTTTCAGAGTCGATGTCGTAGTCGATGGTTGGAATATATCTAATTTGAGTTAGAAATACACAGCTGAAGAGAAGGCCGAAGACCTTGAGATGTTGTCGTTGGTGCTGTAATTGCCAGAGGAGAGAGAAGCGACATTTGAAGATGAGAGAAAACCACGTTTTAGAGACTGACTTCAATCTAATGAGGGATTTCGTTGGCAGACGCTGAAGGATCTCCACCACCAGGTCCTCGTTGCCACTGATGATTTCAGAGGCAGCGGCGGAGGAGATTTGTCTCTGTGCATTCCTCTGGCGGCGGTGGTACGTCTTAATATCCATATTCATTCTAACTTCTTCTCTCACTAGTAGTTGATTGAATCTATGTCAAAGCCTCGAAGTCAACTTAAGACTAATAAGAAAACCTAAAATCCAATTGACCAAAATATCCTCCACCAAACCTCTAATTTTCTCTTCATCCCTCTTTTCCTCCTGCTAGTTCAAACTTCAAACTAAAATATACCCATATGGCTCTCCTGTAATAAATCTATGAAGTACTCTCAGTGATCCATCTATCAAGTCAAATTGTTTCAAACATTTTTAAAAAAAATAATAAAATCATACCCAACAGAATAGAACATATTGGATGCATTTCGTTCAACCAAAATCTAGATATACCCACTTTTCAAAAAAAAAAAAAAAATTCTTATATACCAATTCAAATTCAGAGTATGAAATAGAACACACAAATACATACAAATACGTGTGGATATGCATTTATATCATACTTTAGCCTTCATCTAACATCTGTATGTTTATGTTATCGAAGACCTTATAGATGAAACCATAAACCAAGAGAGTAAATAATTAATAGTAAGTTTTGATCGAGATAATGTCAGATAATTAAAAATAAATTAGATACCATCAAGCCTACTTATTTCAATTAAATAGAATTTAATCCCCTGCATCTAAATAATAAAACCTATGACTGAATTCAAGTTCAAAAGTTGTAGTTTGAGGATTAACATTTTTACTTGCGTATATCAAATTGGACACAAGCTAGACACGATAAATCAAATTAAAGCAATAGGATAGGAAACTTAGACGTTTGTAAGCCGACCAATTTCTGTAGTATAAATAATACAATGTAAACTAGATGAATTTAAAGAGGTAGAAACAACAAACATTATCCGCCCAAGTGATCAAAAATACCTTCAAACAGGAAAGAGTGTCTCAATGCATCTATGGGCACGCCAAGAAGAACATCGTTGACGAGTGTTAACATCAAGAAGCTTCTTAAAAATGTTATCCTTAAGGTTGCAGAAAATGATCGTATTCATGTGAAATTCAAGTAGCAACATAAATGAATCTTCTTCATCATTTTCTCCAAGAGTTAAACTAAGCACGTAGAACTTGTGGCCACCACACTTCAGGTGAGACCCAAGATCATCCATTGTGTCAAGGTCAACGTGATACTTGAACAGCCACTTGGAGTAATCTCTTTCCATCTCAAATACATCGAATTTGAAAATATCACGACTATGCTCAACAAGATGCAAATGACCTCGAGACTCACCAAAATGCTGAAATTTAAAAGGATCCCAAAATGGTGGAAATTGCAATGGGCACAATCTTTCTTGGTGGACATCAAAGTATAATGAACCTAATTCTTTCAAAGGGTCAGTTATCCAATGGATGGAGCCATTGCAATAGACTCCATTCCGGAAATTCACACGTAATGGTGCCAAGAAAGGATGGCCAGAGGGTTTCCATTCATTGGTTTTTGATGAATAAATATGTATTTGAAACCACCAGTATTCTTCCACCACATCCACTTCATGTACTAGTTTCTGAAGCCAAACTACTTTGTATTGAAGTGATTTCAAAGGATCAAAAGTCAAATATAGAAGGTCAAAATTAGTTTGGGGAAAAGGGCGGTGAAGATCGGTAGAGAATTGCTTAGTAGTAGGATTGTAAACGTGGTAAGTTCTGGAATCGTAGTCTGGCTTAAATAAACAGCAGATGAGTATAAGACCATTACAGGAGTCTATGATTTTAGTAGTATCCATATCCCGGATGAGAGCTAGAGAATTGTATTCTCCACCATTGGTACTATTAATATTACAGTCACAGTCGGATTCGGATTTTATTATGTGCATGGGAGGAATGTATTTGATGTCATATCTGTATCTACTTGTGAAGAAAAGGCCGGAGATTTTGGGCTGTCGTTGATGCTGTTGCCAGAGGATAGAGAAACGATAACCGGAGATGAGAGAGAGCCATGTTTTAGAGACTGAGTTCAATCGAATAAGGGATTTCGCCGGTAGACGAAGAAGGATCTCCACCACCAAGTCCTCGTTGCCGCCGATGATTTCCGCGGCGGCTGAGATTTCTTCCGACGCATTCCGGCACCTTCTAATGTTAGAAGCCATTCAAGTTCTTTCTCTCACTCACTATTTGGTTGACTCAGGTAGGGAAATTGCGTTATTATGGATTAAAGTTCTACTCCTAATAAAACTTGGCAAATAGAAAAAGTCAAATCCCAATAAAACACTGACAAGTTAAAAATATGGAAACCTAAATTACAGAATAACGTAGCCAGAAAAATAAATAAATAAACAAATTACATGATAATAAAAGCCCAAGTTTAATGTAACCTATGCAATTAAATTTTTTTTTTTTTTTTAAATGACAAGAAATGCACTTACAAATTCACAATGATGGATAGACTCCGCCAATAGTGCTGGCCAAACTAAAAATTTTAGAAATAAGAAAAATTGTAATATTAGTCACTTCGGACATAAAAACAATTATTTTTTATGGAAATTACGAAGCAACAAAACAAAGCAATCCTCTCACTTGAATCATTGCAGTACAATGATATAATTATTATGAATTACCCACTATAATAAATTTTATTGAATTAAATTAAGTACAGTAGTAGTGTTATTTATAAAATTAAATTAAATAAATAATGAAGTCACCTCAATTTCTAGTAACACGTGAAAGGTCTTAAACTTCATTTTTTTTCTTAATCCAACATGAACAGTGATAGAGAAATAGAAGGTTTCTATCGAAAAGAACTACGTCAGACAATTTCATTATGTATAAGACGCTAACTTCTTTTTCTCTCTCTTCCTCTTCGTTTCTCTTTCCTGTTCTTCATCTAGTGGTCAAAATCTCCTTTATAATGAATCCCAAGTGTTTACACCCTTATTTTCCACTTTCCAGTAGGAGATTACCCTGGTCGATTTCAATGGAAAGGTACGTACTACCACATTCCAGTGGAAAGTCTTGGGACACATGGCAGCAAAGGAAGCAAGCGGTTACAAGTGGTTACATGCAAAGTCATGGGACACATGGCAGCCTAGAAAGTGAGTGGTTATATGCAAAGTTATGAAACACATGGCAACCTAGAAAGTGAGCGGTTACAAGCGGTTACATGTAAAGTCATAGGACACATGGCAGCCTAGGAAGCTGGTCAATTCCAATGGAAAGTTATTACGACATTCCAGTGAAAAGTCTTAGGACACATGGCAGCTAAGGAAGAAAGCAATTACAAGTGGTTATATGTAAAGTCATGGAACACATGGCAGCCTAGGAAGTAAGTGGTTACATGCAAAATCATGAGACACATCCTAGGAAGTGGGCGGTTACAAACAGTTATATGCAAAGTCATGGGACACATGGCAACCTAAAAAGCTGGTCGGTCCAATGGAAAGGTACTACGACGTTCCAGTGGAAAGTCTTGGGACACATGGTAACTAAAGATGCAAGCGGTTACATGTAAAGTCATGGGACACATGGAAGTTTAGGAAGCAAGTGGTTACATGCAAGCTACCATTACTAAACTCTATAAATAGGGCATAATATTGTAACTTAGAAAGTCTGCTCAACGCCAAACACAGTATTTCAATACAACTTTACTTTTATTGCAATGCACTTTCAATATGATTAGTTTCAATCCTGCACTTTACTTTTCATTAGATAATTTTACAGTCTTTCCAATTACTTTCTCAGTTCTTCCTAGCCAGTTAACAATCCCGAAGTCCTTTATCAAAGACAAAAAGAACCATGAGGTGTTCATTCCAGACTTCAACACAATCGCCTGGTCCCGCAGTCTTCCTTCTGGAATATTGTTTAGATCCCTCTTTGGAACTACTGCAGTTCCTGGCACGCCCATCCGGTTCCATCGGAATCGGCACTCACTTTTTCAAGGCCAAACATAGTGGCACGCCCGGTGGGACAATCAGTAAAAGATATTTCTAATGATGTATCTGAGCTTTGTTCATGAAGAGTACAACCAAAGGAGGGCCGAAGAACGTGAAGTGTACTTCCTAAAGATGGCACACGAACGTGAAAAGTGCTTCCAACGTGAACAATATTTCCGAGCTATGTCGCAGGTGCAGATAGTGCAGATGCCATATGCACAATCGATGTCTTTTCCAGTGGAACAACATATGCAGAATCCTCAACAGGTTTGTCATGATGTTTTTACTAACAATTGGCATCAATTTAGGTCTTCTCAGGGTACGGCTCAGGCTAGTCAATCAGGTAATCAGCCGTACTTTCCACCCAATACTACTCAACAATTAGTCATTCTAGTGAACAGGCCAAGTACGTTTGTTAAGGGGAGTCCTTATTATCAGCCTGTGCATTCCATGCCACAGGTGCAGACGACGCAGATGCCATATGCACAATCGATGTCTATTCCAGTGGAACAGCATGTACAGAATCCTATGGTAATTCCTTAATAGGTTTGTCATGATGTTTTTACTAACAATTGGCATCAATTTAGGTTTTCTCAGGGTAGGGCTCAAGCTAGTCAATCAGGTAATCAACTGTACTTTCCACCAAATACTACTCAACAATCCGCCGTTTCGTTGAGCTGGCCAAGTACGTTTGTTGAGGGTAGTCATTTTCATCAACCTGTGCATACCATGCCTCAGGTGCAAGCAGTGTTGGTGCCACCTGTACAATCAATGTCCATTCCAGTGACCCAACAAGTTCAGAATTCAGCTCCTATGACTATGCCTCAACAAGTTTGTCATGAAGTTTTTTCTAACAATTTGCATCAATTTGGGCCTTCTCAAGGTACAGCTCAGGCAGTTCAATTGGGAAATCAATCGTATTTTCTAACGAATGTTGGCCAGTAGAATGTTCAGCCACCTCCTACCATTCCTCAAAAACCACCTCAGGTTTTTCTTGTGGCAGTTGGGGGGCAGAACATACCAAGGGAGGTTCCTGAAAAAGAAGGCAATAGAGATCGTTGGAGGAATAACCCAGACCCAAACCCAATTCCAGTGGTGTTTGGGGGGCATCGAATGGCCAACTTACCCAAAGGTTAGCCAAAAACTATAAATTCATTACCCCAACCTATGGTGTCGATTCCACTAGTAATGAAGTCGACTCCACTAGTAGTGAAGTCGACTCCACCAGAAGTAACTCAACCACTTCCATTGCAGGTACAGATTCCACTTGAGGTGCAGAACCCTTCACCAACGGCAGTCCAGAAAGTTCAATTTCAGGTCCAACAGAATGCTCCACTTTCGAACATTCAACAGCCTACAAGCACACTACCAAGGCCACTTATGGCCTTTCCAATGGCATTCGAAATTGAACGCCCTCCAAGGAAACCTCCCGATCAAGGAGTAAATCCAATCCGCCGGAGGAGTATTCTTTTGGTAGACCCAAACCCAATTCTAGTGGTGTTTGGGGGGCATCTAATGGCCAACCTACCCAAAGGTTGGCTAGAAAATACAAGCCAACTTACTAATTTCTCCCAGCAAGACTGTGGTTTGGTCATAAGGAAGGTCGACAAACCTTTCCATGGGAAGCCGTTATCACTTCTTCCATTGGAAGAAGATTTTCCACAGTCAAATTTTCCTTCAGAAACGGCACATGCTTCTTAATCGTTGTATATTCTTCCACTTGAATAATATAACGGTCATAGTATTTTTCTTCTAATTTTGAAAAAAAATGCTACTATTTTATATGTCCCAAATTCACATCTTGTGATTTTTGAGGGGCAAAACTTGGCCAATCAACTATGTATTTGGCCTGAAGATGTACAAATTCGTCCTCCTCATAATCCTCCAGACCTCGGGGGGCAACGAAATTGGACGTGAGGCTTCAAATCTTCGTCTTCGTTAAATAAGTAAGCTACTTAAAAGGTTTCGGCCCACTAGTACATTCCGGCTGAAAAGTTTTACTTGTTCAATTCCTTAACAATAGGAATATCACATGGCAAATTCTCACTCACATCTAAAATTTGATATGCCTTACAATTCTTCAAAGAATATCAGGCACATCAAATTTAGGGGACAATGCTTACACTCTTATTATCCACTTTCCAGTGGGAGATTACCTGGTCGATTTCAATGAAAATGTACTACCACATTCCAGTGGAAAGTCTTGGGACACATGGCAGCCAAGGAAGCAAGCGGTTACAAGTGGTTACATGCAAAGTCATGAGACACATAGCAGCCTAGAAAGTAAATGGTTATAAGTGGTTATATGCAAAGTCATGGAACACATGGCAACCTAGAAAGTGAGCGGTTATAAGTGGTTACATGTAAAGTCATGGGACACATGGCTGCCTAGGAAGCTGGTCGATTCCAGTGGAAAGTTACTACAACATTCCAGTGGAAAGTCTTGGGACACATGGCAGCTAAGGAAGCAAGCGGTTACAAGCGGTTACATGCAAAGTCATGGGACACATGGCAGCCTAAGAAGCTGGTCGGTCCAATGGAAAGGTACTACGACTTTCCAATGGAAAGTCCTGGGACACATAGCAGCTAAGGAAGTAAACGGTTACATGTAAAGTCATAGGACGCATGGAAGCTTAGGAAGCAAGTGGTTACATGCAAGCTACCATTACTTAACTCTATAAATAGGGCATAATATTGTAACTTAGAAAGTCTGCTCAACGCCAAACACAGTATTTCAATACAACTTTACTTTTCATTGCAATGCACTTTCAATATGATTAATTTCAGTCTTGCACTTTACTTTTCATTAGATAATTTTACAATCTTTCCAATTACTTTCTCAGTTCTTCCTAGCCAGTTAACAATCCCCAAGTCCTATATCAAAGGCAAAAAGAATCCTGAGGTGTTTATTCCAGACCTCAACACAATCGTTTGGTCCCGCAATCTTCCTTCTAGAATATTGTTTAGATCAGCTTTTTAAGGCCAAACACCAAGAGATGAATTCTAGTCTTGAGACTGAATCTAAACGTTTGGATGGAACGTATATACATATCCAAATCATTCTAGAAAAGAAAACACAAAATTCATGTAAGACTATACAGTATGTCTATACCTCCAAATGAGGGAACGAATATAAATACCTTCTTATCTTCACTCTTTTTTAAAGATTACCTACTCCTCTCTTCTCTTCTTGGCATCTAGAATTCTCATTCATAAATCTTCCAAGAAATCTTTCTAGTCAGAAATGAAAAATATGGAAAAAGAGTTTTTTTAAGGTAAGTAAATATACACAAGAGTTGCCATTACAAGACACATTCTCTTACTGAATGAAAACATATTTAGAAAATTAAATTAAATTAAATTAAAAATAAAAAAACTAACAAAGAGAAGAGAAGCAAGTAAATCTGTTCAAAGTTTCTGTTTGGTTTTCATCAATACAAAATTTGAAGGATAGAAACAATAGTTGTAGCTTTTTTTTTTTTCCTTTTTTTTTTTTTTTTTTTTGGTTTTGTGTCTTCTGTATTGGCAAAACATGAAGAATTTTAATTTTTTTATCTTTAATTTTGCAAAATCAAAAGGAGAGTGACAAAACCAGAATCAATTGAGATAAGACTGAATAAAGAATAAAAATTAAGAATTAGAGGAAGCCAGGAGAGAAAAACAAACGTTTATACTTTTAGAAAATAATCTGACGTAGTGGATTACGTTAAGTTCGGCCTGTCATTGGATTATTTGGTTCTGTTCTTGTATCATTTTCTATTCAATATTTTACTATTATTTTATAATCAAGATATAAAAGAAGGTACAGTCTGTACATCCAAAATAAAACTAAGACAAAATAAAACTAAGACAATACATCCAAGTCATTAAGAATGAATCCAAAACTTCAAGAGTAGCCAACCATTCTGATGAATTCTTCAAAAAGAGCTCTTTAAAGTGGTTGACGGCAACAGCGAAACAAGGAAAGCAGTAACATCTTCTCACGAATACTCTGCATATCGAACTGAAGAACTCAGCAATTTTGGGTTTCCTCTCAGGTCAAAAGGGTTAAGTTATTCAATAGAGATATGTTCTTGGAAAACTATGCTTAAGTAGATTTAGTAGCCTCAAATAACAAATTGGTTTATTTTTAAAGTTAATTTTTCAATTTGGTGAGTTAGGTAAAATAATTACATATACATAAATAACTATTATTTATGTCCAAAATACACTCCAAACTCTTATTTCAAAATACCAAAATATCCTTCCTAAATCAAATAATTTTTTCATTCGTAAAATTTAGAAAAACAATATTTTTGAATTGACTTTCAACTTGGCATTTTTACATATTGTGTATATATTATCAAAATAAATAAAATAAAAAGTAGCATATATATATATATGTGTGTGTGTGTGTGCAAAAAAATTTAACTGTATGTCCTAATCTATATGGGTTCAAACCTGCAAATGTCAATTTAGAAATATATTAAAAAATTAATAAAAATTCATTATGTATAGAATTTGTTATTTCATATACATGTATAATTTTAACCATATCTCTTGATTCATACCAATAAAAACCCGCAAATGTGAAAAACTTTCCTATATATATATATACATATATACATAGGGATATCAAAAAAAAACAAACTAAATGGTTACTCCAGTAAATGGTACACCAGCAATCATTTTTTTTTTTTAATTTATAAAACAATTGTAATTAATTGATCTAAAAAATTGATAATCATCTCAAGACATGCACCACAACAAAAACGATTTATATATTCTTTAGTTTAATTATATTTTTCTTTATGGGGACTAACCTTTAATTGCCTCATTTTTTACTATATTGAATCTTTTTTTATTATTTGTATAAGTTCTCGTCTCTATACATATGAAAGTTGTAGCAATATGGTTCAAAGTTAAGGAAATATCTTATTTTCTTAAAATTTTCAAGTAAAGAAATTATTTAAAGAAAATACTTGATTTTAGGGAAATAATTTTTAGTATTTTGGAATAAGTGTTTGGAGAACATTTTGGACCTAAACAATAGTTATTGATACATATATAATTATTTTACTTAATTCAACCCAAGTGAAAAATAAACTTTTAAAATAGACCATTTTATTATTTAAGGCTCCTAACTCTATGTAAGTTTAGTTTTTCCTTCTTTTTTTTTTTAATGGTGGCTTGATCAAAAGAGGCGATTTATTGGAAGAGAAAAAACTTTTATCTTGGATTTTTTTTTTTTTTTTTTTTTTTTTGTCCTGTAAATATATATTCAACAAAGATAATTTCTTTTTTTTTTTTTTTTTTGGTCAGACAAAAGAGACCTAAAATATTTAAGACTATAAACAAAGGAAGGAATCGGAAAGGGAAATTATATCATTTGAAAAATAATAATGAGGATCACTTGTAAAGTTAGGGTTATAATTGCCATTTCATTTAAAAATAAAGTGCAAAAGTAGAAAAATTGAGTAAGAATATCGCCTCCCTAAATTTAGGCTTCGTTTGGTCCAATGATGATGGACTTTGATCATCTAAGTTAAATATTCTCTAAGTTAATTCGCTACAAATTGACACGTCTAATTTAAAGAAAGTTTGAAATTGTATCGTTTTTAGGTAAGGAAAATTTACCATAGTTTAAAAAATGCATCGTTTTGAATTAAGAAAAATTTATCATACTCTAACTCTCTCTTCTAATGATCATTCTCACAATTGCAGGAATATTTCACACAAAAAATAACTATTCTTTGTTATGGAATTAAGATGGACCAAAATGTGATTGAAAAACATGCAACTTTTACTGACAATAGTAATGATTGGAAAAGTATATATATATATATATATATATATATATATATATATAAGCATCAATATTCAAAAGCCCTATGTCAATCTATAACGAATTCAACTTGGCATAACTTAGAGAATATTTAATTTAAAGGATCCAAGTGAGGACAAGCAAGAAAAGGAAAGAAATTAAAACTTCACAATTAATTTAGAACATACTAAAAAAGAAAGATGGAATATTAATGTGGCATAGAGAGAGTAATTCAATCTCTCTTTCAATTTTATCTACTACAATTCGTTTCAAAAATTAAAAGTAGAAAAATAATATTTATTATATTTAGCTTTTTAAATGAGACAATTAATTTGTAGCATTCTAAAAATGAAAAATGAAATATTATTATCAAAGGAAGTAATTAAATCTCTCTTTCAATATTATTATCAAATTCATGTGGTAAGATGAGATTAGGTGGTCAAAGGTAAAAGAATTAATGTTCATTACAATAATCCCATTTTGATTTTATACACATCAAAAGCATAAATAAGAGAGCGTGTCATAAAACTACTCTTTCCAATTTAGAAAAAATCTAATATATAGTGGACCACATCACATAGTGAAGGTCTAGTCTATAAATTGTGCAATTCTAAAGCTCTTTCTTCATCCCATTCTCTCTCTAACTCTAATCCATGGCTGCCAGCTTCTTCAACTTATCTGCTCTCTTCTATAGTACTTTCATTGTGTCATGCATCATTAATCTTTCAGTTAATGTCGAGGCCAGCAATGGTGGTGGTGGCTTCACTGTTGACCTCATACACCGTGACTCTCCTCTCTCTCCATTCTACAACCCATCAAACACCCATTCCGACCGTCTTCGCAATGCTTTTCATCGCTCAACTCTTCGTGCCGCCCATTTCAAGCCCACCTCTACCTCTACCCCTGGAGACTCAATCCAATCACAAATGATACCTTCCGCTGGTGAGTACCTCATGAGATTGTCCATTGGAACCCCACCTGTTAGCATACTTGGCATCGCCGATACAGGAAGTGACCTTACATGGGCACAATGCGAACCTTGTATTAGTTGTTACAAGCAAAAAGCTCCCATCTTCAATTCCACGCATTCTTCCACTTACGAAGCCTTCCCCTGCGATTCTAAAACATGCCAATCCTTTAGCAAGCCAAGTTGTAGCCACAACGTATGTCAGTATAGTTTGTCATATGCGGATGGATCCTTGAGCACTGGTGATTATGCTGTTGAAACATTCACTTTTGGTTCCACTTCTGGACACCCAGTCTCTGTTCCAAAGGTAATTTTTGGGTGTGGACATGACAATGAGGGCAACTTCAATGAATCTTACTCTGGGATAATAGGCCTAGGATGGGGGAAACTGTCACTAGTGAGCCAATTGGGTGAGGACATCAATGGAAAGTTCTCTTATTGTTTAGTGCCATTCAATTCAAGTTCTAGTGTCACAGGCAAGATAAATTTTGGTTCTAATGCCATAGTTTCAGGGTCCGGGGTGGTCTCAACTCCCTTGGTCTCTAAAGCACCTGAAACCTATTACTATCTTACCCTAGAGGGTATCACAGCTGGTAACAAGACCTTGCCATACAAGTCTTGGTCCAAATCCAAAGCCGGTGTCCATGAGGGTAACATCATTATCGACTCAGGGACAACTCTAACACTTCTTCCCAGGGATTTCTACGACAGATTAGAGTCGGCTTTGGTTGCTGCAATCAGAGCTAAAAGGGCCCAAGACCCACAAGGGATATTCAGTCTCTGTTATGCAACTCAGGGCCGTGATTTCGATGTGCCCACTGTGACATTTCACTTCGCTGGTGCTGATTTGGATTTGCCGGCGTCAAGTACATTCGTGTCGAGCACATCCGTGTCATTTGTCAACGGGCAAGATGATTTGGTGTGCTTAACCATTATCCCTACTGATGACGTAGCCATTTTTGGAAACTTGGCTCAAACGAACTACTTGGTTGGGTATGATCTTGTGAACAAGAAGCTTTCTTTCAAGCCAACTGATTGCACCAAGGTTTAAGCAATATTGGAAATTTATTTCATTCTATGGTTGGATTTAGTTATCGGAATCAATGCTTATGGACATCAAAGAGTTGGGACCATGTGGGAGTCTGTTGTCAAGGTAGAGATTCACATTTACTTACACATATTACTATATGTGATTATGTTACTTTATGTGTGTGTACGTGTCAATGTGGTGAGAAGGTATGATTTTCATATTTCTTTCATTTTCAGGCAGAAATGTGGTGAGATTGTGGGAAATTGAAGTATAAGATTAATATTTAAGATGATCCCTAAATTTGTTTCTTTTTCTGTACTTCTCTTTAACAATTGTTTTTGACAAACGATTTGTAAGACACAGGAGCAGTGCATATATTTACCTTTTTCCCTGATCAGGGCATAAGCAGTATATTGACAGCATATCGGAGTTCTCTTTTACCAGCTGCATTCTCCATCGTTATCGTTCAAAAGTAATTATCCCTGAAAGACGCAACACTTTGCCGCTATATGTATGTTTATGTTGTGACTATTGAAACTTAAATAGATGAAAACACAGTCCAACAAAGTGAATAAAACTAAGTTTAAAAACAATATGAAATAAATTAACTAGATAGGCTCAAACCCACTTCTCTAACTTGCCTAAATATTAGAATTCATGACTCAATTTAACTTCAAAGACTGTAGTTGCAATGCTAAAATTCTGCAGGTGTATATCAAATTATACATGTATATATATGTTACAGTAAACCAAATCAGCATGACAAATGAGACTTTGTAAGACAACCAATTAATTTTAGTAATATTAACTCGTGAGCATGCGCTCCAATGGTATCTCATTCACCTTTCAAAATGGACTGTGAGGGTTCGAGTCTCTAAATGAGCAAAATGAATGTGTTGGTGAGGGTTCGAATCTCCCAATGAACAAAGTGAATGTGCAAGTAAGGTGTGTCTAAATTTCCTATCAATGACCCAAAAATAAAATAAAAAAGCCTTGGTAAAATAATTCTGTGAAAAAACCCCAAGGCCTTTTCACTCATTCACCGCATTATTCATATATTCATCATTTCAAACAAAATTCAAGCCCCCGATGGCACTCTCCTTGCTGTCTAAAACTTCCACTAGATTTTCTTTTCTTTCCTTCTTTTTTTCCTTTTTTCTTATAGTACATGTATCGGCCCCATGCATCATTCAAGTCGATTAGGAGTACGGTTCGAAAGCGAAACCTTAAAAACTTACTTCCTAAATCCCTACCAACCCCATTATGCCCCCAGAACTAAAACTTCCACTAAATTGATTAATGCGGTTTTTTTATTCTCTTAATCCTTTGTAAGTAGGTTATAAAATGGATTTGATTCTTTAGGTCAATTTAGAATCCAGTTTTTTTACTATATATTAATTATGTGAAATTAATGAGAGATTTTCATTAATGGGTGATAAATAAACATCGAGATGTTGGCATCATCATACAAGTTACCTGTGATAGTGCATTGTCACTATTTAAAGAATTTGGTCTTAATATTTTTTGTTGATTATTACTTGATGTGCAATAAAATCAAGTAGGAGAAACCAATGAATTAATCAAGTCAAACATGAAATTGAGCAGACAAAGGTATGTGCAATAAAATTATGTGCAGTTATACAATGACTTGTGTTGGAAAAATTAACATAAAATGGAAACAAGAATACAAAATTTTACTTGGTTAAAAAAAAAAAAAAAAAAAATCTAAAAATAGGATCACGTCCACTCCATACTCCATAGTTCCATAGTTCCATAGTTCTAAATAAAATTACTAACCCCTGCTCCCCAATATATTGCTAAAGAGAATTAGAAATTTAGTAACACATAATAAATGTAAAAACTGTAAAATACCTTTCAGTAATTTGAAGGTGTAAAATTTTATCTCACAGGTTTATTATCAGACTTGATTAACTATATGAAGTATAAAGTATACATTTAAGGGTATTTCCCTTTCAATGTTTACTTCTCGTAACAATTAATTGCGAACCAACTTCAGTATTAATAAACATATATTGTTTATTATTTAAGGTCAAATATAACGAGGATTTATGTATAATTTTTTGTTTATCGATAAACAAATGCATTATTTGATCACATCAACATCAACATTAACATCGCAATAATTATATAAATGAATTTATAAAATCGATAAACATAAACAATATTAACAAACATGTTTTTCTTTAAAATTTGTTTATATAAAAAATAAATAGTAAACATAAATAGTTACCTAACGTAGCCTAAATATATTTGAAGATTGAAGCTGCCAAACATTAAAATAGTGACAAAATTCACTTACCATGAATCAAATAGGAAAAAGTGTCTCAATGTATGGATGCATACGACAGTGATTCGGCCAACAAAGCTCATACGAAGAAGACCCGCGATAATGTGCTACGTCATCAAGCTTCTTAAAGGTATCATTTATGATGTTGTAGGACAAAATCATGTTGGTGCCTACAAGTAGCAACAAAAACACATCTCTTCCGTTTTCTCCATGAATTAAACCAAGCACTGCATAGGGTATACTCATCTCTTTCGATACAAAATCAACCATGGCTTTCAAGTCCACCCGATACTTCAACAACCACTTGGAATAATCACTACACATCTCGAAGACATCAACACTAAATTTATTATCAATAATATTAGTGAACCCAATAATATGCAAATGACCTCTAGACTCTCCAAAATGCCGGAAATTAAAAGGTGGAGAAGGCATTGGGCACCATTTTTCTCTATCAACATCAAAATATATGGAAGTTTTTCCCCGGTAAATGGAAATCCAATGAATGGAACCATTGCAATAGACTCCATTAACATTGTTGAAGTCCACTGTTGGTGCTGTGAAAGGATCGCCCAAGGGTCTCCACCACGCATTGGTTTTTGACGAAAAAATATGTATTTGATACAAGTAGACCTTTCCTTGCAGTGATCTTTGTAGCAAAACAACTTTGTAGTGAAGTGACTTCAACGGATCAAAAGCCAAATATACAAGATCAAAAGTAGTGGGGGAAAAAGGCCAGGAAAGAGTAGTGAATTTCTTGGTAGTAGGATTATAAACGTGATAAGCCCTTGAAATACGTGAAAAGCAGAGTAGTAAACCATTACAGGAATCTACAATTGGTGTAACCGTACTGTAACCACCACCTCTGAAACCACTACAGAAGTCTATACTAACACCATCGCCACTGAAATCTCGAAATTGGGCAAGAGATTCGCACTCTTCACCGTTACTATTACAGGGGTCCGTTAGGGGAATGTATTTGATTTCAGTTCGAGATCTATAGGTGAAGAAAAGGCCGGTGATCTTGGGATGTTGTCGGTGCCGAAATTGCCACCGGAGGAGAGAGAAGCGATGACCGGAGATGAGAGAGAGCCATGCTTTTGAGACTGACTTGAATCGGATGAGGGATTTCGCCGGCAGATGAAGAAGGATCTTCACGACCAGGTCCTCGTTGTCACCGACGAATTCAGCTGCGGCGGCGAAGATTTCTTCCGAGTACCTTCTAATGTTAGGAGCCATTTAACTTCTTTTTTTTTTTTCTTCTTTTTTCTTTTTTTAACTTCTTCCTCTCGCTACTTGTTGAATCCACAAGAAGGTGAATTGTGATTATGATAGGAAACTAAGTCCTAATAAAATACGGCTAAGGGAAACTTGGGTGACTGTAGGCAACCAAATTCCTAAAATATTAAAATTTAATAAAAATAATTTATTTGTAAATTTTCAGCAACTTATTTTACATTTTAATTCGATCAACCTCGATGTAAATTTTTGTCAAATACTAATAAAATAAAAATAAAAATAAAAATAAATTTTATCTAAAAAAAAAAAAATTATGTCGAAACAAACGAGTGTTTCGATCATAACGACAATTTGAATCACTCAAAATTATAATTGTCACCTAAAATAGAGTGATAGCTCCATTGAATGTTGAAAATGTTGGATCACTCAAAATTAGAATAGTCACTTAAAATAGAGTGATAGCACCATCGAATGTTCAAACTATTTTTAAAAAGTATTAAAAATAACATTTATTTTTATCTATCACTTAAAATTCAAGTCTTAAAATTTAATATTTAATAAGACAATACTTGCCAATAACCACGTGTTCCAAAAATTATATAATATTTTAAAAAACAAAATTTGTCAACCCAACTTATATATACAATAAATAAATAAATAAATAAATATATATATATATATATATATATATAATAAAGACTTAAGAAGGATTAATATTTCATTCCAAAACTCTAATCACCTCACTGTCACTCCCCACCCGCTACCATGACCACTGCCCCTCCGCACTCGCCGCCAACAACACTATATTACCACTACTCTCTCTTCTCCATACCATATTTGGATTGAATTAGAATACACCCATTAAAACATCATGGATAATAATTATAGATCGTCTTTTGGCCAAATATGGTACCAGAGAGAGGGCGGCTTTAATGAGAGAGAAAGGAGACGGATGGATTATAAGATTGTAATAGGATGATTAATGAGAAAGAGAAAGGTGAAAAGAAATATGTTGATACGGTCGTATAAAAAGTGTAAAATGCACAATATTTTTAAACATCAATGACGTGAAAGTGTATCTCAACAAAAACAAATTTACACATCATTAATGCTTATGTATACTTTACACAAAAAAGTATTTTAACTGGAGATGCTCTTAGGATTGGATTTGATATATATATATATATATATATCCATTGATGGATGTATAATTTAAATATTCGTGGATAGGGAAAGATTGTTAAAGTAACGCGCTATCTCATAAGATTGAGATGAGCTCTGCAGATTAAGATAAAGATTACAGGCTAAGCTAAGATAAGGATTACAAATTACGAATAAGGATTACAAAATACGATAAGGATTAGGCCTACAGATTATGATAAGGATTAAGATGACGGAAACTCTACGTAACATCCTGACCTAAGCCCTATAAATAGAGGGGGCTAATCGGGCAATAAATCCTAATTCAATTTCTTGATTTCTCCAGAAAGATTACTTCTCACACTGATTTATTCATCAGAACCTACTCTACCGGTAACACTCCGGTGTTTGTAGGATCATTTATTCAGGAAGTCAGATCAAATCCGGGTTGCGCAGAATCCATCATCAACATCCATTTTTAAATTTAGAACGCATGTCGAGTCTTTATTGGACCACCATCATAAGAAATAACCTCCTTGCATGACCTAAAGCAAGCATTGTTTATATTTAAAATTTATTTTTATCATGTAATAATTAAGATTGAGACATTTTATCACGTTTCTAACAATAAATAATAAATTCGTTAAAAAATAATAAATAAATAGATTTAGGGTGAGACTTGGGCTGTTGGGCAGGCCAAGGGTTAGCTAGTGCCAAACCCAAGGTTCTAAGTTGTAACACCCAACTTGCACAAGACTAAATTCTGAAAATCCCATCACATCTCAATTCACGTCGTACCGCACGAGTTTATTGAATTTCTCTGATCCGTCAAAAATTTTACAAGCTACTAATAAGTAATAACTAAATATTGTAAAAAATAAAATGTTAAATATATAACTAGCACCCTGCCACCAAACAGGAGGCTCAAACCCAAAACCTCCCTTTGAAGAGTATGGGTCTGGTTGCGCGAGGCCATTGGTCCATTAGATTTTTTATATATTATTTTGTTTCTTTAGTAAAATATCTATTATTTTTAATATTTTTATTGTAAAATTTTAAAATAAACATGACAAAGTTAGGTTAATATCTATGATATTATAAATTATTTAATTTTCACTTTATTTTATATAAATAAAGTATATTTTTAAAATATAAATTTTTCCTTTATTTCAGTCTCAACTACTATGACTAGGAGAAAAAATTTAGTGCACCCATTGTACCGTCCGCTCGTGCCTACACGTGTATTACACGTACAGTTAAATTTTTTGAATATTACTTGTATGCATGAATAGTAAAATAATGAAGGAAAAATTACATCTTAATCTTACTTTTACACATTAAAAACAATTAAATCCTATAATTTTTTTATTAGAAGAAAGAAGTCTTATTTTTGAAATCTATTTACAAATAAGTTCAAACCTCTTTTCAATATTACCCTTATTGTTGAGATACCAATCATATATGAAACTCATATGCCTCGCTCTCGTTTGGGGTTTGGACTAGTATGACAATGGCGAGAAGGATCATATTTGCGGGTGAGGTTGTCGGGTATTAGGTTTATGGTGTCCTTAACCATGAGCAAAAAGTGGTGGATAGTTTTCATGATGTTTATGTTAGAAAAAATGATTATGATTGTTGGTGGTAGTTCGTGAGTAGAATGAGGAGATCATTCCACGTCGATCAAGAATCTTGAGACCAGTATCCAAGTGGAGATCCAAGCAACACAAGGAATCCTCTCAGTACGGAGATTAAGAAAGAGAAGGCTGAACTCGGTACTATGTGAACTCGAGGTTACCAATCAGTAGTCATTAATATGGTTGTTGTTGTTAAAAAAGGCTGATTAACACCCCTATTTATAGTGCCTACTCCCTCGGTCAATGTCTTTTAGTCTTTCAGATGAGTCCGCTCTTACCCAAAGGTTTGAGAGCCTCTCCTTCTGACGGATGAGACATTGATGGATGGGCCACGACGCTTTGCCCCCCGGTTCAAAGAGGAAATGGCGCTTCTTAATTAATGTGGGTCTTATCAAACATCTTTCGTAATTAATACATCTTTTACTCTTACTTGTTCGAGCTCAGGTACCGAGTATCCTTTCCCCCTTGTGCTGACCCCGGAATGAGGCGAGTCCTTGGATCTCAGCCACCTGTCCACATGTCCTCAGATTCCCGGATTCCAGAGGGAGAATAAAAACCTTTCTTGAGGTCCGGCCTTCATGACCTCGCGTGGCTTTTATCCCAATACTATGGTTCGAGGTCCCCAATGGCCAAAAGGGGAGAACCACAAAAGCAGGTTAGCCGAGGGTGTCCCCTTCAGAAGGCAACCTCGAGCGAATAGGGGTGGAGGAGCCCATCCGACTAGAGCGGGGCGCGTCCTCAGAAGAGGAAGGGTAGTGTAATACCCCTAGTTTTCAAAAGGATAGAACTGGAAATTTTATTTTATTTTTTCATTGTTTAATTAATTTAGTTATGTGACTAAGTTGTTTTTTTTAAGTGATTAATTGTGTTTGCTTAATTGATTTAATTAATTGTGATTGCTTAATTGATTTAATTAATTTTTGTGTGTATTGAATTTACATGTTAATTGAGATTATTTTAATTATATTATTTGAATTTATTTAATTGTTTTATTTAATTAATGTAATGTTTATTTATTTTCTGTATGGTAACTTAGAGTTACAGTTATAATTTTTTGGCTTATAATTCACGTATAGGTGAACCGCCGTAGGTTAGAACTGAGATAGTTTCATGGGCCGATTAGGATGGGGATTAGGGCTTAGTCTCTGATTATTCATGGACTAGGGTATTAATATACACCTATAAATATAAAGCAATACATGGTTTAAGGTTTGGAGAACAGAATAAACGTACATTCTGTAAACCATAAACAGAGCCCTAAATTGGTAGTGAAAACCAGAGAGATGCAGAGAGAACCGGAGTGGGAGTTTGGGTGGTTCACAAAACAGAATCAAGGAGGGAAGTTTGGTGTGTGTTACTGGACTGCAGTAGGAGCAACAAGGGTGGTCTAACACTCAAAGACGTGGACTTAGCTTTGCAAGTTTGAGTTTCAAAGGCAAGTTTCTGATCTTCTCTTTCCTAGGAATCTGTGTTCTGTGCATGCTTAGATAGACTCCAGGGATTAAACTAAAGTTTAAATACATCTTTTATGCATGTGAAATTGTTATGTGATTTTATGGAATTAATCTGGTCTCTGTTGTTTTAAAACTTAAACCTGTGTTCTTATTGTCGATGCTTAAAACTTGGGTTATAACTCCTGTCATGGTTGAATTATACTGCTTCAAAATTAATCTGGGACTAGGATGGGACCTTAAAACATGTAATTAAACTTATTACAGAGACTATAAGTGGTGTCGAAGGTGAGGAAGAAAACTGGAAGGGACAACGGCTGCTAAGGGAAGGAAAGAAGGCTCCCAAAGGCCTTAGAGCGGGCTCCCAAAGGGGGGAGCCGGCTCTAGATGTATTGGAGCTGGCTCTAAGGGTACTAGAGCTGGCTCTAGGCAAAGTGGAGTAGGCTCCCAATTTTGGGAGAGCCTGCTCTCTCCTTAGGCTTCTCCGAGGTTGGTTTTAGTGACTGTTTGGGTGGTTTAGGGACTGTTTGGGCTATACAGAGTTTGTGTACTTTGTTTAAAGTGTTTCAAATGAGGTATATTATTGTTTTAGACCTGTAAGAACATGTTTAAACAAGAATTCATAAAGGGATTAAGGAGGAGTCAGTGTACAGTTAGGGAAAGAATCTACAGGTTGCACCTTGAATATTGATCAGTTTAAACTCTGGAACTTAGAGGATTATTTAGATATGATTTAATTTTGATTAATCATGTTTAAATAGGAAAATAAGTAATA